GACGAAATTCTTTTTAGATTCCCTCTGAAAACTCACCTCAAGTCCAATTAACATTCTAGCATGTTTTCAAAAGTGAAAGTAGAATAAATTCATCCGCAGATTCCTACCACACGCATTGATTTAAATTTCATTTAGATTAATTAAAACTTATAAAATATTGTTCACAGTATTAGAAAAACACAAATTTATAATGTAATTTTGCTTTCCACAAAGGTACGACAAGGTTCAGATGAAAGCACTTCCGGTTACAGGTGTGGCGGTCAGCCGGGTGCCAGATAGCTTAGTTGGTAGAGCACCTGACCGGAGTTTCAGGGGGCCCGGGTTCGAATCCCGGTCTGGTCCGCTGCATTTTCTCCTCTCCCGTTACATTTGGTGCCGTGCCATGCCCTGGAATTGACAGGTGAAAGACCTGCCAGGGATGAGCCTGGGTTGGGGTCTTTGGAGGGCCAAAGACCTTTAGGGAGGGAGGAATGTGGCGGTCAGCCGGGTTCGATCGCCGGTGACCAGATAGCTCAGTTGGTAGAGCACCTGACCAGAGTTTCAGGGGGGCAGGGTTCGAATCCCGGTCTGGTCCGCTGCATTTTCTCCTCTCCCGTTACACAGGAAAAGAGGCTGATCTCTCATCTGATGTAAACTTTGCAGATTTCCAGTGGAAGAATGTCAGTACAAGGTAGTGGCTTGTTTTTTTATCTTACATTTAGCAAATTGAAGTATTTAAACTGTGTTCGTCGGAAATCAAAAGTGTATATTTTCTAGGATCATGGTTTATAATGTTGACCGCTCCTAGTCAACACATGAGTGTTTTGTGTAATAATACTCATCTACTTTTTTATGTTTTCGTATTTTAAAATGCATATAAAGGTATGCAATGTGTACACAAATTAAAGATATTGAATATTAAATTTTATTTATGTCAATTATTGAACAAATTTGTATGGAATATAGGAAGGAAACGTAAATGTTTGCATGCTGTAAGCATGGGGAGTAAGAAGAAAACATCGCGCGTACTTGGTAAAGGAAAAGGTATTCACCAGAAGTATAGGAAGGAAAACACCTTGGAAGACCAAAGTATGTTTTGATTAAACCTTATAAGACAACTGGACGAAATCTTAAAATCAGAATTCATTTAAGTTATGGACAAAACTTTCAGTTGCTACTTGCCAAAATCTTTCAGGTGCAACTCGTCAAAAGTGTTCATATACCCGGTATTTCAAAAGTAATAAGTAACAACCACATCATAAGATTTCAAATAAAGAAAGTAAAAAAATGTTTGTCCTGATGGATACCGTCTTGTCAACCTAACAAGCTTGCAAAATCATGTGAATGAAATTGCATTACAAGCATGTCTGTGTAGTGATGCTATTGCCTTTGGATCAAATGGTGAGGCACCAATAAATGTACTGACAGAGAACAGAAGCCTTGGCCTAGCAAGTGCATTTGCTGTGCAGTGCAATGGATGTAAAAAAAAACAGTTTAAGTTTGAAACAAGTCCTCGCATTCCAGGTTCACAGAGGTACAGTGTATATACAGCATTATGAAATTTAGAAAGGTTTAAAGAGAACCCTCAATGCCAAGAAAAATCATCTTATTTTAAAGTTTTACCTTTTGAAGCTTGCTTTACCTCTGAAAAAATCTATAATTTCCTTTCCTTCACTAAGAATTGGTAACAAATAGTATTTTGCTACATCAGTACAGCCTCATTCAAGATTAGGAGGTCACGTAATGGGTCAATTCTGATGGAACTATAAAACCACCGTGGTATTTACAGTTGTTCAAGTAAAATAACACAATGATAAGGGATGTGAATACCAGTGCACAGGTTTACATCATGCATCCTTTAGACCAAATTAAAAAAATAGCCTTGTTTCCTGCTACCCGCCTACCCTATTTTTTGCACCCGACCCTGAGGGTTTTTTTTTAGCTTTCGGGGAAAAATGGAAATTGCAGGGATTTTATGTTCCAAAAGTGAAAAGACATATACTCAAATTGTATTTCATGAAATATATATTTAAAATCTGGACTTTCATAAAATTCCACTCGAGTTGTGCATCAAAAGACATGGAATTTCAATTTAAAAAATATGTTGACCGAGCTATGACATGTTTAATTTGGTTTTGTAGTAGTTCATGTCCCAAAAATACCGTTGGAAAAAATAAAACGAAAAAATAAAATAATTTTCCTACCTACCTACCCTTTTTTTCAGGCTGGTAGCTGGAAACAAGACTATTATTTTTTTTGGGCCATACTTTTTGATGTGGCAGAAGAAAATAGGGTCTAAATATACTATATCATGCTCTAAGATCATTTAATATCATTATTCAAGCATTCACATTCAGTGCATATTCAAATTTTGCAACTTATTGAGATATAGATAGTTACACAATATTCACATGGATTATAAACGAACAGATTTCCTTAAAGTCCTCTTCTCAGATATAGCACTGAAACATCTCGTTATGTGAAAACATCACAGTATGATACTAATTCATATTTGAAAGAAATCATGGACCTGGAGGTTTAAAAGTTGTGTTTTTTTAATTACATGGGAATATATAGGATATTTTAAAGAAAAATGAGAACATTAGGGTGCAACAAGAAAGCATATTGATATGTAATATTTCCCATATCATGCACATTTTCTGAATTCCTGATTATTTTTATACAAATTATGAATACTTGATATGGGATGGGGATAATATCAGGGATAAAATAGTACATGCTTTTAATCATATTCTCCAGAATAGCAAGGCAACATATAACGGATAAACCATTCTGCTATTCATAATCCACATGTAGTGTAGATTGAATTTTGGGTAAAGCATAACCCTTAGAGAAAAAGCTAAGTTAGGACCATAACATGGTGTCAGAATTTGTTTTTAGATTTTGAGAAAATATTTTTAACAATCATATAAGGAACAAGAGGAATCAGGTGAGCATTGAAGCTCTTGGGATTCTAGCTTTGTCAAAGATTAGCTAAGACAACTTTACATAGATCCATATGATAAGGGTTCTTTGAATGTGAATTTGTTGTTTAACTTCGGAATCCGTCTGTAGAATTTTTCACTCATATGGAGATGCCACCAATTGCCGGTGTAGGACTACAAATTTATACCTATACTTGACACTCAGGGCCATTGAGCCGTGAAGGATCTTTTTTGTGCCAAAACATATTGCAAAACTAGACCTTCGTTTATACTGTCTCAAATGAAGGACTTGTCTCCATGTCATGCATTGGATTCGAGCCAGACACGTAAAGATCAGTTCCTTACTCTTCCACATCTCCAGAACTGATGCTCTATAACCACTGCGCGGCACAGGTTCTTTGTCAATCCATGTAAAAGGTCCTTTGTAGATAATAAACATGTACCACAAATTTATATTTATTCATACAATGAGTTCAGAAGAGTCATTTCTATAAGATGAAACTTTAGCAACGTTTACGCCAAATACATGTTTACATTTTACTTCGAACACGTGGCTCAGATAAAACTTTAGCAACGTTCACGCCAAATACATGGTTACATTTTACTTCGAACACGTGGCTCAGGTCAATGTATGATCAAGTCAATGGAGTGCAAAATTGAAAAAAATGTTCTTATTAACATAATACAAATATAAGAAACTATGAAAGATGTCATGGGCGTTTTTAATTTGTTGTTAACTAGAAAAAAATACGCTTAATAAAATGTAGTTAGTGTCAAGTTCAGAACACCAGCGCTTCAAAGGTAAGGACATCGAGCAGCATCTCTTATGCGTAAATTAATACCACGCGGAAAAAATTACTTCTACAGTATTACTTACAGCAATTAAGTTTTCTCAGCAATTGTTGAAAGAAAATCAAATATTACCGATGAAAAAATTGAATAGCTGGCTAAATTAGTATATTGGACTAATAGTTAATACTGTACAGAGGTAAGCTAAGGATAAAGTTTACACCTTTAAAGCCGCTTCATCCGAAACAGGCACATATTATCTTAAACAATAAAAGTATGTCATTACATAGATAATATATAAAAATTAGTTATAAGATTGATTTAATAGTTTATTACAACAATCCTTACATGGAAAACATAGACCAAAAACCTTGTTGACAAACAGCAGTTCCTGACAGGAAGTTAAGATCTGTTTTGAAGTCACCTTTGAAAAAATACTTTTATCGGTTATATCTAATCATGAAGAGAATTCAAACCCGGGTTTTTTTTCCATTAGTAGAATCCTAAGTCATGATATATCTTTTAAAAATTAAGAAATTAGCTGAATATAATCCATAGTAATTTTTATATTAATATGCATATTTACAGAATGAAGGAAAATCAGATATTTTTAAAGATTTTTTGTAAAGGGAGTTTAGTAACGAGGGCTAGAATATTGCCCGTGTACACTTTGTTGTGGAAAAAATGCTCGGGTTTGTTCTTCATGAGTTATACATGTAAGCGATAAATTTAATTTTTCGAAGGTGATTTCACGCAATGTAAACAAAGGATTATTTTTTGTGTGACATAACAAAAATTATTTTTTTTAACTTTTGAATTTTGATATCTTTAAAAAGAAAAAGACTTTGGGGATATAATTTGACAAAAGTTGAAATAATTCATGGACAATTATTTTTCAAGAAGAAAAACGAATATCTTTTTTAGCGATTAGAATCGGACCAAGCGGCTTTAACATTTTGATATTTTTTTTCAAAAGTGTTTTACTTTATAAGCAACCTTTAATTTTCTTTTTATTGAATTGCAAAAAAATTAAGAATTTAAGACCTGTTCTAATAAGTTTCTTTTGCAAGCCAATCACAAATTTACTCTTTTTTGTCTAAAAATACAATTTCTATTTTTCACAAATTTTGTAATTTTTTTCATTTATATGGAGAATGGGTCATATCAAAAAAATAATATTCTCAAGATAAGATTTTGCAGACCTAAATCCTTTTCATCTGATAAAATCGCCAAGTACCTCAGAACATAAAAGAGCAAAACTCAGTATCCATAGACGCCTGTACTTACCAATAGGGGTTCTCGGGGAATGGGCATCTACTCCATCTGAAAAAGACATTTTTATCAATAATATGTGATGATGCTGTAAACTATCAATCTATAACTGCACAAAGAGCTAAATTCTAACGTTTTATACATCCAATTTGATTGCATTGTGGAAATTGTTTCCTTTATTCTAAGTGCTAATTTTTTTGATTTACGTGAGCGTTGTCGTTAATGTCAACATGGCCATAGTCAAGGACGATTTATTCTGGAGTCTGTGTATACTCTTATTTACGATATTTGTTGACTTACACAACATTCGATGAGTTTTTATAAGTTTATTAATTGTTTTAATAACTTTAGTTGAATTTTATCGATATTCATCTCGATTACGTTTCTTTACGGCAGTATTCCTACGCGTACATATTCCTACGCGGTACATGAATAACGGATTGTATGGAGGCCTCAAATGAAATAATTTTAAAAATTCATCATTGGAATTATAAAAATTAAACGTTCTTTTTTCAAAATTTATCGATGTGTAAACTCATGCCTTTTTACTCACAAACGTACACATCGATAAATTCTGAAAAAAAAATAATGTTTTATCCTATAATGTTTCATAAGTATAAACGTTATGTAACAAAAACAGATCCACACATATATGCCTATCTCAGGAAAACTGCGAACTATGAGAAAAAAAGTTAAATTGATCACAATGCTTAACTGACCTGCCTTTTAGTCTTCTTTAGACTCTCAAAAGATTTCTCTCCCCCCCCCCCCTCCCCCGATTGTTTTTTTATCTGATCTTAAATAATTATGATCCAGTATCACCATGAATAAACTCATCTTGCTTTACAGGAAAATGAATTTGTAAAAGATTTCCATCTCCTCATATTTATGTGAATTATACTGAATTTCAATCCCAATTCTGGCACTGTCATAAATGTATGTCCATAGGGTCAATAAATAGATAGTATATAAAGAAACAAGAAATGAGTGAGAAAAACATGTAGTCATGTATAAATAAAACACACGGAGGATTCAAGAAGGACAGACAGTTTTAAGAATTTTCTTTATAAATTTTGATAATGATTTTTTTATTTCTACATTATTACTACTCATTAGTTCATTGAATTTGAAAGTGTTAGGATTATAACAATATCTGTTTGGGAGAAATATTTATCTGTCCTTCGAAAAGTAATTACATTCCATAATATAGTGATATTCATCACCAACAGTTTTAAAATCACAAATGGTACATATTCTTAAGTTTCTGTCAATATTATGCCATCTACCCTTTTCAATTGGCAAATGATGATTACAAGTTCGGAGTTTGGTAAGTGTAACTCTTAAATCTTTTGATCAACATTTTTAAACAAAACTTGTTTTAAAAATTCTATAATTAATGCACTGGATGAACTTTCATGAGCTGTTAAAATTTGATTGACTTAAGCCAATTACATAACTATTTTTAATTCTATACAATCCACAAGAATTAAGTACATCTTGTACACATTTTATCCATGGGTACAAACGACCCATCACTATAACATCTGATAACATTTTCACTTTCAGCTGTTACACATAACTATTTTTAACTAGAAATATCGGGGTACTAGATTTAAGATTAAGAATAAATTTCAGAAATTTCAAGTGTACTTTTTCTATTATGTCTCTAAATTTTCATATCCCCATACTTCACATGAATAAAGTAAAATTGGGTTGATGACTTTATCAAACAAATCTAACTGACAATTAATTGGTAAATTAAAATATATCGAATTTTTCGTAAGACTCCATACATTGCTTTTGATGCTTGTTGGGTTAAATGTTTTTTTTGCATTATTAAACTTTCCACTTTTTGACAGGAATAAACCCAGGTAACAAAATTCTTTCACATTTTCAATAGCTACACCGTTATATAAAAATTTACGCTTTGTCATTGGACCTTTAGAAAAAATAAGGACTTTTGATTTGGCTATGTTAACGCGGAGTTTCCATACGTCACAGTATTTAGAAAAAACATCAAGTGACTTTTGTAAATCAGAAGCAGATTCAGACATTAAGACCGTATCATCGGCATAAAAAAGTATACACAGTTTTAACATAACAAACATATCATCTTGCGTTTGTTGACTAGGACATGTAAAACCATTAATTTGATTTCTTGTTAAATAATCTTCTAGGTCATTAATGAACATTAATTATTTCATTAATGAATGAAAATAAAAAGGGTGTTAAATTTTCCCCTTGTCTAACACCAACATTACACATAAAAAAGTCTGATAACTGGTGACCTATTTGTACTTTTGACTTAATACCCTTATACATATTTCTCATAAATCTAAAACATTTTCCGTCAATACCACTTTGTAAAATTTTAGTCCATAGACCATGTCTCCAGACCGTATCAAAGGCTTGCTTGAAATCTATAAAGGACAAAATAATTTCTTTTTTTATTATTCAGGACAATCCTACTCAAAAAATCAATCACAAATATATTATCAGTAGTAGAATAACCTTTTCTAAATCCTGTTTGAGATTCATTGATTAGCTCTACCTCATCAGCAAAGGTATTTAAACGGTCATAAAGTATACTGGTAAAAAGTTTTCCTAAATAAATAAGTAAAGTAATTGGTCTGTAATTTTCAGGATGGCTTCTATCACCATTGCCCTTATAAATAGGTTTAACTAATCCTACTTACCAGTCCTCTGGTATTATGCCACTATCAAAGATCACGTTGAATAATTCTACATACAGCGGCAGAAACCTTGAAATAGTTGTTTTCATATACTCATTCAAAACATAATCACCCCCTGCGTTTTAGGCGTTCAGATTTTAGAACGCAGTTCGCAGTTCGCTATTCGCAATTCAAAAGTGAATTGCGTTCTAGAAAGCAGTTCGGAATTTAAAATTCAAAATTCAAAAATAAAATGTGTGGGTTAAATTTTGA